CTCTCAAGGATGCCTCAGCTGAGACCAGCTGGTATCCAGGCTCTCTGCAAACATCTTGCCAAGCCAGGAGAGATGTCCCAGCAAAAAACTTTGGAGAGACCCTATTTGTCCTCTCCTTTTCCCCATAGCTAAACTTCACCTTCCACATGCACAGCAATGCAGAAGGGCTGAGCCCTCTCCCCAGGTTGCTTGCAATAGAATCTCAGCAAGGAACATGTGGTTTACAAAATGCAAGGGGAGGATGCTGCACAGACCCTGTGGGATGAAATTTGTGTATTTCTGGTGTTTCTCTCAGAGGAGGCATATGATCAGAGAGTAGCCATCCTCAGCGCAGCAATCCCTTCGAGAAACACTGCAGATAAAAAGACTTCAGCTGACATCACCAAACCTATGACTTTGGGGCAGGCAGAATAAAACAGCAGAATAGAGAATCTGTGTTCTCAGAAATGTTGCTAATACTGTTCAGAGAGCTAGATTTCCTTAATCAAAGCAACAGATAATCTTCATGTATGGTTTGGTCTCCGACACTGCTCCAGGCTTGACCCGTAACCAGGCCTTAAGTCTGACAAAGCTTCCTTTGGGGATCACCAGAGACTGGTAGGTCTTCTCCTGACACAGCCGTTATCTGCTTGTCCACAGTGGGTCTTGTTTTGGCCCTATAGCAGCGCAGTGCATGCAGCCTGCCTTCCTCCCCACACCCTAGGAACTATTCCTTGCCTCCCTTCTGCCTGACACCCCAGGTCAAGTTTCACATTGAGTGCTTGGGATGGAAAAAAAACAAACAAAAAAACATTCCTCCCTTGCACAGAAACTAGTGCAGTGCAAGCATGCAAGCATCTCTGCCAGACCTGAGCCACCCTGAAGCCGGTGAGGGAGACTGAACCTGTGCTACCAGGTCCTTCCCAAGGCCAGACTTCCCTCACACCCCTCTCATGCTGTTGGCTCAGCTTTGGCTGGAGGTGGTACTCTCATTTATGTGTTTCAGAAGGTTTCATCCTCTGCTTTCAGTATCTTAGAACTCAAGAAATGCCCCCAGAGTCACTCACCTGACCCCCATCTTGCAGTCCATAACGCAGGGGGAGTCAAATTCAGCTAGCAGATCTTCCATCTGGTTGTATCGCTCCCCGTCCTTCATGACATCCCCATGGTAGGCAGGAACGTAGGGCTTCAGGACATCGTTCATCAGGCGGTCAAGGCAGCGCTGCTCTGATTCACAGTGCTTCTTCAGTATCCTGCCATTGGCTGCTGCCTTGAAACTACCTGAGGTGACAAGAGGCCACGTGGCACTAAATCTGGGTGAGGGGTGGCAAGGTGCCTTCCCAAAACAAGAGGGCCAGCCCAATGCATCAGTAGCATCTCCACACCCAAAAGAGCCCCTGGCACTCCCACTGCTCTCTACCTGCATGTCCTGCAAGCTGGATCCAGGGGTACTTCTTCTTGAAGGACATCACAAACGGGGACCAGTGCACCATGTTCTTGATCTTCCGCCATGACTTGCTCTAAGGGGAAAAAAAATTGTGAAGGTGAATGCAATGTCTTAAGCTTTTACTGTCCATAAAGTCACTCCAGGCAGCACGTGGCCATCTTGGACAGAGCAGGAGGCAACGGAGCCAGCACAGAATGGAAAGCAAATAGAGAATCTGCTCTTTTCCCATCACCCTGCGCCAAGGAAGAGTCACTGGGCCTCAGCACTACATTCAAAAATCACGAGTAACTTCTGTAAAGTAGGCAGCCTTTCTTCCAGCTGGCTGCTTCTGATAATGACAGCCCAGCCATATCCATCACCTTGTCTCCGATCCCCTGTATCCCAGCATCATGAGGACATTTGCCCATCTTTGAGAATGTACTGCTGCTGCAGACCACAGCAGACCAAGTGGGGAAGAGAGCCCAAGGTTCCTCCTGGGGCACAAAGCTCCACTCTGGACCCCGTGGGTAGGAAGAGACACACACAAAAGCTCACCAAAGCATTTTTTGCTCCCCACTGAATAACAGCTGCTTTGTTTGACAGGTTTGCAACATGCCCACATCTGACCTGCTCGCTTTAGCTGATCAGTAACCACGTTTTGGAGAAGAATTCCCTTCTGATACATTGCGTTCTTTGCCGGATGGATCACACAAAACTATTTACACTACTTCAGTGAGAGTGTCTTTGGATATATGAAAGCCTCTTCTGAAGGCGTGCTCTTCCTGGGGAGAGGTTTTCCCTGGATTGTTCTGGGAAACACACTGCTAACAAAAGGGAGCGACAATGGAAAAATGCCTTCTTGTAGAAGAGGAGACAAACAATCTTTATCCTGGCCACAAGGAGCTACTGGGTTCAGCTGGAAGTCCACAGATAAATTATCCTCACTTGCTCCACTTCTAATGCATGTGAGGGAGCCTTCCAGAAAGGCCCAGTAATATCTTCCTTGTGTTTGGAGAGCTGGCCTCCTTTCCAGTAACACTTTGCAGACAGGCAGAGAAGAGCCAGCAGCCCCAACTTGCAGCTTGGATGCTTGTCTGGAGTGAACTCACAGCACAGGAATCTGTGCTGGGAACTGCTGACATGTTTAAAAGGATAGGAAGGAGCCAGACAAGGATGTCAGTGTCTGCAGTGTGGAAACTCCACTGAGTTACACGGCACTGCACCCCAGCCCTGAGGCAGCAGGGCACTGCACAGCACAGGTAGGAGGATAGAGGTCGGAAACAAAGGCCTTTCCCCATTCCCTTCCCCCTTTCCAGCCAGGAGGTAAAGCTGGCCCTTCCCCTAGACCACTGCCTGGCACCAGGAGTATCCAAGCACACGCTGGTACAGCATGGGAGTACAGCAGCTTGACACAGAGCTCTGTCACAGGGGTGACACCAGGCATCCCCTGCATCCAGACCCCTCTGCACAGCAGCTTTGCTCGGCAGCACGGCTTGCTGGCCTTGGCAGGGCAGCTCCCTACCTGACATGAGGATGGATGTTTTTATTTCCAAGTACTGTGCCAGAACTGGTGTGCTGTAGCTGCTCTTTGTTCTCCTCTTGGCAGAGTGGGAGGAAAGCTGGGGGAGGTAGGTGGGGGTCTCTCTTTTTGTTTTTAAAATAGTAACATCAAGTCCTGAGTGATGTCATGAAAAAAGAGGGAGGAAAAAACCTCTGAGGGAGTCTAGACCCCAGACAAGCACAACCCACCTTGTCTGAAACAAAGAGAAGGTGTCGTGCTACCCTACAGCAGTTCTGTAAGTCCCTCAGTCTCAGGAAACCAGCCAGGGCAATGCAACTCCCCAGCCAAGATTTTGTTTTTTGGGGATTACAGCTCTGCAGCTAAAACTTTGATGCACAACAAGATGGAGACAGAATGAAGCTAAGTGTCCTCCAGAGCAGGGCAAACCACCGGTCCCACTTTGCTAAGGCTGCCCAAGCCCTAGATGTGCTTGGCTCACATATGCCTTCGGTTAGGCATTTCCAACCCAAGTTTTAGGGCTGTGGCTAAGGACCATGTTTTCGGCAGCACCACACACACACACAGGATCTGGGCTCAACGGTCGGGCCAAGCACAGAGGGCTGAGAAAGAGATGCTGAAGCCTCACTGACATGCAGGTTCGGGCAGGGCTGTGGGGCTACATCTGAACAAAACAAAGCTGCAAAAGATGGTTCTGAACTGAGAGCACGGAGTGAACAGGGGTCTCCTGCTCTGCTAGGTTGCAAAGGGAGTGCTCAATCTCTGTCACTGCTGAAATCTCATTTGCCCACAGTGAAGCGAGCAGGCAGCACATCACGCCAAAAGATGAATACACTTATTTGGTCAGAGCCCGTGCCACACATGCATCGCTTACAGCTGCTTGTGGCATCCTGACACCCCGCTCTCCCCAAATTCCAGCCCCAGCTGCTTCCCCTCCCCAAAAACTCACAAAGCTATGCTGGCCAATTGAGCTCTTACACGTAGCCTAGATAAGCAGGAGATATGCAGAAGGTGTGTGATGCAGTTTGACACTTATTAGTTAAAACCTCTTCGAACATCAGCACACACTGATCCATCAGCTGCTATGCAGCAATTTAGTGACTCTGAAAACAAATGTAGTAAGGAGCAGCACCATTTGCACTCATCATCTGCCACATGGAAATGAAGCTGAGCACCTGGCAGAGACAATTTCTGCCTCTGCTTTCTCCCAGCCCCTCACCAGCTCATCCCAGCTGTGGCGAACAGGACCAGAGAAGCTGAGCCCTCCCAGCCAGCACCCACAACTAGGCAAGGGGAGAGGAGTGCTGGGAAAACAATTTTATCTTCTCTGTGTTTAACTTTGCTTATCTGGAGCTTAAGGCAAATGCCAGGCTTTCCCTGTCTGTCAATAGAGCTTTATACGGAAAGAACAACATGGGAGAACTTAGGCCAACCCAGAAGGTCAGAGGATACGTTGTGTTTAATTAGATTAAACAAAAAAAGTGACTGATGAGCTCAGTGCTCACTGCACATTTTTCCTCTGGCAGATGGTTTTCCTCTCGTGCCTGCTGAGGGATATGTGCTCTCCTGGCCACTCCTGTCCCCTTCTCAACGGAAGGTTTGGTTGGTGCTATGGGGAGTTGGGGCTGCTTTGCCTTTCCTGTGCATCAAGCCAGAGAGACGGGCAGAAAACAATTTCACTTGCTGGAATAATCATAGAATCAGTAAGATTGGAAAAGACTACTAAGATCATCATGTTCAATCACCAACCACCCCCATCATGCCCACTAACCATGTCCCTGAGTGCCACATCTCCACATTCCTTGAACACCTCCAGAGATAGTGACCCCACCACCTCCCTGGGCAGCCTGTGCCAATGCCTCACTTCTCTTTCCGAGAAAAAACTTTTCCTAATATCCAACCAATTATGGTTTCCTATAGTTTGACAGGACTAAACATTCCTGAAAATAGCTGGAGATGGATCCTTTTTATACACCACTGGAGTCAAGGTCATGCAGCTGGAGCAGGGAAGAATGGGAGCAGCATTACATGAACAATCAGAGAACTTCATCCCTTTCTCCCTGGAAGACCCTAAAATAAATGAGAAGAAGAAGACAGGAAAACTGAGAGCAGACAGCAGGGCCTCACTGCTCTTTGCTTTCACTTCCAGCCCTTCCAAAATGGGAACTCGCTGCTGAGGCCTCCTTGGGAAGGGGCTTTGGTGAGGCCTGGAACATGCCTCACTCCTGAGTTGGGCTGATGAGCTGCTCCTTGTGCCCGCAGCCTTGTGGTTTGACAAACAGCAACTCAAGCAGTAGAGGAGAGCAGACTTTGCACTGGAGAGGCCTCCTCTGCAATAAATAAGTAAGTGGGGGAGCATTTGCCCGCAGAGTTCACTCCGTGTCGGCTTGCTCGGGGGCCACACGCACACAGCCAAAGGAAAGGGAACCATTTCATTTTCCATGTTTAAAAGAACGAATGTGGGTTTTTTTGGTCTTTAGAAAGTAGTTAAGGTTTCCCTAGTGATGATTGTTTCCCTTCACTGGGAAAAGCTCCATCGGGGAGGCGAGGAGGCCAGCTCTGCTCGCTGTGCGGGGTGCTGGCGGCAGAGGGCACGGGGCAGGGCAGGCAGGGACCTGCATGCTGCCAAGTGCCTCCTCTGTACGCCCTGCACACGGGATCCCTGCCGAAACCACTCATGATACGCTCCAGGTCGCTAACATGGAGCTCAGGCTGTGCCCTGCTGCTGGGCAGCCTTCTGGGAGGGGAGCCCAGGCAGCCCCATGTCTTATGCAGTCTTCTTCCAATGCAAACCGCCCACATCCACACCAATGTGGCCAAAGTTGCTGCCTTCTCTGCCATCTGCGGGAGATTAACACGAGTGACAGAGGAGCCTCGGCCAGAAAGCAAGGGAGCCAGGAACATCTGCTGGGATCATCGAAAATTATTCCAGCCTATTGGAAAAAAACAGGAGCTCTTTGCAGACTCCCCCTTCCTGCTTACGATGCTGGAGAGGAGAAAGCCCAGATGGGTGTTCGTGGTGCTTGGATGTGGCCTTCCCTCTGACAATAGGAGGAAGCCCCGTGGCTTTGGGACCGGCAGCAGCACCTGGTGTGCGGGGATGGTCACAGCCTGTGCCTGCTCACTCGCAGTGCTCAGTGATGCGTGGGCATGTGCGGGGGGCTGAGCAGAGGCAGTGCCAAAGCATCGGGTAGGAGAAAGGCAGAAGTGGCCCTGGAGCTGCGGTTGTCTCTGTAAGCGTGTCTTCCCGACTAGCAGCCTCCACTTCAATCAAAGTGAAATCTTCCTAGCACAGATCAGTCATAACTGGCTTTCCAGTAAAGCTGCATGAATTAATTGTACACATTAGGCAAGTCCAGCCCACTTTCCTGCGAGGGAACTGATCCAGATCTCTGGAAATGTCTTTGTTACTCATTAGTACATACAAATTACGTTTGTTGTGCAATTTTTGGCTTAGAGAATTCAAGGTAAACAGAAACAGTTGGTCACTTCTGGTGGACTGCTAGAAAAGTCCTGTGCTGCTGCTTCCACAGCAAGCAGCTCCCTTTCAAAATGCAGCCAATAATAAAAATGCTCACCAGCACAAAACAGGCCCAGGGCAGTGGGTCAGGCAGCCAGCTGAGAGAGCAGTGTGGCATGAGTCAGGGAACCCCCCCAAATGCCAGCTGCCAACACCCTCTCCTACAATTTGAAGGCAAGTTTTCAGGGATTTAAGCCATGACACTGCATTTCCAGCCCGCTTAGAGGAATTTGGGACCGAAGCACCAAACATAGAGTAGCATCCATAGGCAGAAAAAAGGTGCTTCTAATTCTTGGGGTTTTTTAGTCCAGTTTATTCCTATCTGCTCCTGGATGGAACCCGGAACAGCATGGGACGGAACCAGCCTGCTCCTGAACATGTGCTGTGAAGTGAGTTGGGATGCCCAAAGCAACGCCCAGAACAAAGGGTTGTTTGGAGAGATTTCCACCAGCTCAAGATCCCCCCCAGCACATGGTAAGGTGAGAGGGCTCGTCCCCCCTCTCTTCAGACCGCCTTATGAACAAGCAGGGCAACCTCGGACTTCTAGTGCCTGCGTGGCCACTTGAGCTATTTACCTGGAGATAAGCATGGAGGGCATCAATGTACACGCTATAAACACAAAGCTCTGGGAGCATACTGTCCACAAGCATCGGGACCACGCAAGCAAGATTCTGCAGAACCAGTGCCATGTCGTGAAACATTAATGATGCAGTCTGCAGGAGAGGTTGGATGCCAGAGGTCCAGCTTTTAGATGTGAGCCTTTCTGTTGTAGAAACTCCCAGAAAGTGTTCCCTCCGCTGTTCCCTTGCTCTGCTCACTTATGGAGTTCACTTACTGCTCTGACACTGCGTGGCCATGATCAAATGCCACATTACGGAATATGTAAATTGGAAATGCACCCTTCTACCATGAAAAAGTGCAATGCTCTGTGAATGGCCTAAGTGCTGCAGGCTGCAGGAGGGATACACGGAAGGGAAAAAGTCATTTCCAGGGCTACAATAGTTTGCTTAGAATAAATAAGTTTTTTAAAATTAGTCATAAGCCCTGACCACACCTGCATTTACTGGGTACACAGAGTGTAAAAAGCTGGTTTAAAAGAGCAGTTATAAATTTCATAAACACAACCAAACCATAAAGCTGAATGTTCAACAGGCACGACCTTTTAATTTGCCTTTAAATCAGTTTAGCACTTTCATTTGCACTTGGAATCCCTCGTGTTTGGATAGCACTTTGACAGAGCAAAGTGCTCTGTAGACTTTATTGGCTCTCATGTCAGAGAAGCTGGTGCTGCACGGCTGGAGGAGCCCCTGCTGACAGCAGCTGCTGAGAGCACCAGCCTGCCTCAGCCACAGCTCCGTGGCTTTCCAACCCAGCCATGTGCTGACACGCAGGGCTGGCCCAGGAGAGGAAAAAGAAGATTTCAGTTGTAAAGTCCTAAGATACTGAAGAAGAATCATGCTGATCCTAAAACAGCACCACATTCAGGACAGCATGTAATGCCATAGGGCTGAGTTTTGCACAGGCACACGGAGGAGGTGCTGGGATGCAGGACAGTCTCGAAGGAGCTGGACTCAGTGATGCTTATGGGTCCCTTTCAGTTTGCTGTGTGCTATGACTCTATATTCTATGATTCTAAGTATTATATTATAATTCTGAGTAGAAGTCTGCCTTCCACGTGCTGTCATCCCCCTCCTGGGGTGTGGAAGGAGAGGGTCCGAGTAGCCCAGCATTGCTAGCTGCATGCAGCACACCCAGGGGTGACCCAGCCTGTTCAGATTCCTCATTTAAAGAGTGAGATCTGAAAATGCACGTTCGTCTTCTTCCTTGTTTTTTTTTTTAAGCAAAGTAGTTTCTAAAATAAATATTTCTCTTGAAAGAGGCTGTATTTGAGGCGAGCGGCAGAAGCCAGGCATGCGGCATGGCGTGGTGTTTGAGCACATAACTCCAGCACCAGCCTCTAAGCGCCAGTTCAGCAACAAGCAGCTTCCCCCCAGTAAGCTGTGACATCCTTTCAAGAAGCAGAAATGGCAAGTTTCACGTTAAAATCCAAATAGTCTTTCCCAGAACAGCCCTATCAAATTTGAAGAAAAGGCTCGAGCCATTTTCTGGTCCAAATAAGGACAAGAAAGTGAAGGGTAGGAGGCTGTTATATCTAGCCATATAATCGCAAAGGCGCTGGCGGATGCGATACAATGAAGCCATTATAAACGTGGGTGGAACAAAGGCAGAGTTTAGCTCATTGTGTCTTGGCATTTCTAAATATATTTTCTCTTGGGGGAAGAGCGAGCGAGAAGAGAAACGAATGTAGGGAAGGTGCCTGGTTCTCCATACGACTGGGGCTCGGCAAGCCCGTATCTGCAAGGCTGTCACTGTGGGCAGCAGCAAATCCTCCTGCTGAAGGAGACTATGTTTAGCTCTGAGGTGAGGGAAGCAGAAGAGGAGGTAGAAAAATTTAGTCATCCTCTTCCCTCAGACACTTTGTTGTTTGTTTACTTCAGTAGCACTTGACTTAGTCACTAGGTCTCCCACAGGCTATTTTTAGTATTTTTTTTTCAAAGAAAATAAGAGAAAAAGGAAACACCTCTCCACATAATTGGGGTGATTTGGAGACAGTAAGCGGCTAATGGGCAGGACTTCACCCTGCAGGGGTGCTGGAGAAGCCCAGGAGAGGGTCTGTCAAGAATAGGAGCATGCTGGCATTTCCATTTGACAGGAGCAAGCGTGATCAATAGCTGAGCAACCCCAGTTCCTCAAAGGGTCCATGCCCAACGCCTACACCTGATTCCCATCCTCCAGCCTGCCTCAGAGAGCAAGCCTGCTGGTACAGCAGCAACCTGATGCACTTTCCAGTCGGCTCAGGAAGGGTTTTTTGGAGGTCTCAGAAGACACCCACAGAGCTCACAGCTTCCTGTTGCTTTAAGGAAAGCTTGCAAGTAAAGCTTAAGCTTTACTACAAAGCAACATAAAATAGGCCCTTGTTCCTCACTGACATTTGGTACCAAACAGCAAAATGCACACTGTTAACCTACAAATAGGAAACGCTTTAGCAGTGTTGGAAAAATTTGGTGTTTTTCCTGTACTAACACAAGCGCAATGGCCAAATGCCAGATGCTTCTGTCCCTTCTTTGAAGACTGACGGAATTCCTTGCAGAGTTCCTAAATTCCTGCTGCATTAGCGCCCAGCAGGCTCCAGTGACACGAGCAAGCCCTGGTATTTCCTTGTTCTCCCCCGCTGCCCTGCTAAGGGACAGGGGATGCTGAGCACTGCGAACCATCGCCGCAGCAGACAGACAGCCCTGCGCGCCTATGGCCGAGCTGAGCGCGGGCGGAGGTTGCCAAGGCAGCCGGTGACGCACAGCTGGGCCCCGCTTCTACATTTTTCCATTACATGGTGTTGAAGCTCGCAGAACAGGAGGTGGCTTTCTTGAGCAAGCTATCGAGAGATCAGCAAGACACGGCAGGATCCTGCAGGGCGTGCTGCGCGCTGCTTGCACTGCGTTTGAATGAAGAAGCACAGGACGGAGCCAGAAACGCGCCTGGTGCAGAGTGAGAGCGTGTGTGTGGTTCAGATCCGGCTGAACTACTGCGCTTCTGCGAGTGTTCTGAAACAGCACGGTGCGGGTGTGGGATGAGGCAAATCCCAGATCGCAGCTCCTACTGACCGCTGCCACTCATCCCTCCACACATGGGTGGCCCTGGGGTCAGGTCCCCCTAGGAGATGTTTGCTGCCCAACTATTTGCAGATCTCTCCAGATTGCTCTGCCGCCCCCGGGGCCCGGCTGTGTGGGAGTTCACTCGCCACCCGCTGGCCAGAGCTGTAAGGCGTCAGGCACAGCAATTCACAGACCACAGAGCCTCAGACGTGGGCAGAGGGGAGCTAATAAGCCAGGTGTTGGATATACCCACTGGGTACAATTCTAACATTTTGGGGATGCTTTCTAGCAGCCTAACTGTTCAGTGTTTTTGCAACCTCATGGTGGCATTTTAGGATGAAAGTTAGCATCTCCTCTTCCATTCAGCCACTGCTGCTGTGTTAGCAAACCTGTTTGTGTATCCCCCATGCACAAAACCAAAAAGCTCAGCATCATGTCCTTGCGCAGCATCTTGTGCCTCACAGGCTGATCTCTGCATCCCTGACAGGTACTGAGAGGTGGCTGCTGTGGCCACCAGCCCCCACCAGCATGCTGGCTGCAGCACAGCCATCCTTTTGGAAATAGGGACTAATGGAGAATTAAACATTCCTTCAGTGGTACTGAATGAAGAGGCTTAAGCAGCCTTCTGTTCCTGGAGTAAAACAGAAAAGGGAAAAGAAAAACACAAAAAAAACAACTCCACAGGCATTTCCAAGCTGTCAGGTTGCTCCTATTGCTGGTTAGAAATGGAAAGAAACTACAGAAAGGTGATTTCACCTACGGGATGACTGCTAAAAGCTCCTCATACCTCCTTGACGATTTCCTAAGTGAAAAGGCAGTCCAGCTCTCTGCAGAAGAGTACTGAAAACTTCACAGACTCACATTGAGTGATACCAATCAGAGATCACGTTACCCATCGACACATCAGCTTGGAGCTACATGCCTTTTGGAGACTTTGCCTCCCCTGCCCAGCTGGCTAGCACTGCTCAGGACCATTGCTCAGCCAGTGAAGGAGAAGATCCTACACTGTTAACGCAGACAAAGACACAACTATGTGTAGTAGCGTAGGGCTGCCAGAGCTGGGGCCTCTCCAGGAACGCAGTGCCCAAGGTTCCTCGGCCTTAGCAGTAAGGAGGTGAGATCTGCAGAAAATAAGCTGTGCTGCTTTGCAAACATTCTGTCCCTGTCACCTGGGATGGAAAGCTAACCACAGCAGTGTTTGCATTTTTTTTGCATGGGACCATTTGGGATTTACTGTTTCTTCACCTGCACAAACATCAAGACGCTCTGCATTGAAAGCAAGTCAGGAAGCTACAAGAAGGAGTGGCATTCCCAGTGTGACAGGAATTACTAAAAAGGCTCCATTTGCTCCCCCTCCAGGAGGCAAGGGTCTCCCAGCTGTTGCCACTACAAGCCATTTGAGTCTCAGTGACAGCACCATGGTGGAGGAGGCTCACACATCCATTGGCACTACACAGCTGAGACACACGGCAGCACATTCACAGAATCACAGAATCATCTGAGTTGGAAGGGATCCTTAAAGGCCATCTACTGTAACTCCCCTGCAATGAACAGGGACACTTATAGCTCGATCAGGTGCTCAGAGCCCCTTCCAGCCTGACTCTGAATGTCTCCAGGAATGGAGCATCCACCACATCTATGGGCAACCTGCTTCAGTTCTTCTCTACCCTTATCATAAGAAAAAACTTCTTCCTTCTGTCCACTCCAAATCTCCCCTCTTTTAGTTTGAAACCCTTTCCCCTTGTCCTATCACTACAGATCCTGCTAAAGAGTCCATCCCCTTCTTTCTTATCATTTCCCTTTAGATACTGAAAGGCTGCTACCAGGTCTCCCCAGCGCCTTCTCTTCTCCAGGCTGAACATCTCAGAGCTCTGCACAAGAGATATGCAAATATTGAGGCTAAATCCTCCCCATTCCCAATCAAAAACATAACTGTGCATGCAAAAACCATGTGGCTCCTAACACCCATCTAGCTATTGCCTGGCTGGTGGCCACAATTCGATCACCTCCATGGGACAGAGCAGGAGGGACCCCAAGCACAGGGTGTCAGCTGAAGTTGGAGCTCACAAGGGCAGACTTAGAAACCTCATGAGAGCTGAAGCTGGATTTTAAAATGCAAACATGCCTGCCCAGAAGTGGTATGGCTGATGTGCCCACGGAACCATAAATCTGCAAATAAAAGCATATCACTTCTGCCAGTGAATGCTATGGGACCAGGAGCACAGTGCAGTCCCACTCACAAGGCTGTCACGCGGGCATAAGCATGGAAGGTGTTCTACTTTATTCAGTTTATAAACAAGAGCACGCGTTTTTGGTAGTAACAGCCGCTCATTCTGGGATGAAAATGTTTATGTGCTGGAAAAAGCATCTCACTAATGAACCAAGGTATTCTAACAGCCAGCCTGTTAGAGGTACTAACAAAAGATGTGTTGAGGAGGTGATTATTTATCTGACACAGTCTGACACCAGCAAAGTAGTCACAAGGCAGCGACTGGCACAGCCTGGAGAGCAGCTAGATTTGGAAATGGTAAGGGAATTCTGGTTTCTCTCAGAGAAATGCTGCTAAAAAGGGGTCATCTAAAGCATCTGGCAGTGATGGCAAGCAGCCAACAGTCTCATTTGGAAGATGCTCATCCCATTAAAGCATAGTTAATTTGAGTCCAAGCAGCTTCAAAGGCAAGGAGCAGAAGCACTCACAGGAGTGGGGATCTGGACAAAATCAGCAGAGAAGCTGCTGCAACAAGATCTGAGCCTGGGGATTAGCAGCAGCTTCGCACATGCTCTCCTGCTCCAGCAGAAGGCTTTAAATGCTGGGGGACAGGTGATGTATATGTGGGGCCTGCTCTTCTGCTTCCTACCATTAGTAGAGGACAATATAAAACGTTATTTTTTCTGAGTAGCTGATCTCAAGAGCTGGACTTAGTGAATGAATCCTGGTCCAGTTGAGCTTTTCACTGGAAAATATATATTAAACAAATGTTCTTTAGTCTACCCTTCCTTTTATATGGTTCTGCTGCAGCCAGGATCAGGAGAGCAGCCCGCAGACCTGAAAGCATGGGATACCTTTGTCCCTTTGCAGATCTTGATTAAACAACTCTAACAGGACCTGTGCCACATGCCTACAGTTTTCAAAGCACAGAGGTGTATTACCTGACTAAAATATAACTTTGCAGCAGTTTTGATCTATTTAAATGAAAGCCATATAGGAAGTTTGTGCCTTTTAACCCTGCAAGAGAGCATCCCATGCCAGCTGAATATCCCCTACTCTGCACATCCATGGCTGAAGATATTTCCCTTCCCAACCCACTGCTATGCCCCACAAACACAGCTTCTCCTGCTCATTCCCTGATGGACATTGAAGGGACTTGCTCAGCTTTATTTTTAGTGGGAGCTATTGGTAATAGGTGAACGGTTGGACTGGATGATTTTTTAGGTCTTTTCCAACCTTGGTGATTCTATGATTCTATGATTTAGCAGCCGAGAGAGCCAAAAAATAGCCACAGGATCCCCATGGCCCAGGGCACCCCTTACTGCTGGGTGCAATGCCAGCAGCATGCCCAGCACCAGCCCTGCCTCTGCACCATCAGCAGCCAGAGCCCACTGTGCTATCACTCTGGCACACTCCTTCCCTCCTTGGCAAGACAGGCCAGAGCTAAACTTTTCCATTGAGACGGGTAAACAAAGACTTTGCTTCTTCCCCCATAAGAAAGTTTAGCCCAGGAAGTCACATGAATGCAGCTGTGTCCAGCATGTATATCCAAACTGGCCCAAGCTGCTGGCAGGGTATGGATATACAAAACCTGAATCAGGACAAAGCTCTGCCTGGGAAATGCACTTCCATCCATGCGTGGAAGTGCACCAGGAGGAGCCCGGTCTCCACAGTCAACCTGAGGACTGAGGCTGGAAAATCACCCTGCAAAGTATGTGTGCTCTGGAGTACGAACAAACCATGAGCAGTTTGCCTTGGAGGCAGCAAGGGATTTACTCATGGTCATTTTCTGCTATTAAAGCAATAAATCAATTCATCAGTCAGCCAAAAACCAGGGCAAAGAATGAGAACTTAGGGAAAACAGGAAAACAGAAAAGTGTTATTAGACCAAAGTATTTTCCAGTGATGTTTAGAGGCAGTTCTGAGCTGAGCACCACAAAACCTGCTACTCCTAAAGCAGTACCAGGCTTTCCCTGCAGCTATTGTGCTTCCTCTGGGCTTGCCCACCCTGCACAGAGCTTTGCAGGCTCCAGAACACTAGGAAATTCATCCAGAGCACTTGGAGGAGGAGGCACACGCGCGTCCTTTTCCCTTTCCAGGGTGGAAGGCAAGACAACAGCACGATGTGCTGACTCAGCTGTCTGCTTGGCTGAGCCCAGCTGCCCCGAGCCTGCATTTCATCTGCTGGAAAACAGTTTCCACTGATGCCCGTATTACTGCATCCCCACTCGTGCTCCTTTGCTTACCTCTCTTCCTCTTTGCTGGGCTTCTCTGGATGTTTTCCAGTGGAGGACATCATCCCAGTAACTGTGGACGTTTGGGAAAAAGGAAAGCAAAGCTCGGACCGCCACCCCATCCCTGCTCTCTGAACTCAAGGTCCCACTACAATGCATACTTACAACGCATTTGTGCTGCAGTACGCTGGAAATAGAAAGCCATGGTGACGACTCAGCTGAGGGGAAAGGAGCACTCAGCCCTGGTGACTCCTCCAGTCACTGAAGTAGCACTGCTTGTTGATGTTACCGAGACTGACTCAGTGGGAAGAAGCCCCCAGGGAAAGGTCCTTCTGAAAAATTTGTTCCTATTATTTACTCTGCAGCTTAATCAGGCATCTCCACAGACGAATCAGCAAGTACCTCTCCTCCTCGCTTACTGAAAATGAGGTCATTGGCTCTGATTCATTTACAAAGAGCTTCCCAGGAGCCCAAGAAAGTGAGTTCTCATCTTCTGCATCCTGGGACTGTCATCACCTAAAGCACATATTTCAAGTGTCTGAGCCTGAAAAAGCAAGTTCTGCCTTTTTTCTTTTTTTCCCCAGGACATGTTCACTTTTCCCAGGACACACTTACTCCAGCTGCACATGACAAACCGAGAGAGATGAGAACATGCATGTGTTGCTACATCTGCATGGGAAGTCAGGTGGTAATGAACTGCATATCCACACCACATTCATCGTCGAGATTTACTATCCGGCACAAAGCTCTGACAAGGAAATATCAAGATTTGGCTTTGTTCTCCCAGCCTGATGCAAAGCTTTCCTTGAACTTTTAAGCTTCTGTCTTCACTGTTGAGCAGTAACATCTGCTACTTCCATGGGATCCAGAAGAAACTTCGCAAGAGCAATCTAGCAGCCAGCCCTTTAGCACAACATTTCTAAACTGCAAGGGCAACCATATTAAATCATGCTCCTTTCAACACACACACACACAGAGCAGAACAACAGGAAAGGCAGAGGCTCTGACACCTAAAGAGCTCTTGTTTGAGACAGTGGTTCATTTGGGTGCCATTTGTTCAAAAGTAAAATCCTAATCCCACATTGAATAAACTCAAGCATTACTTTTTAAGAAGTAACACAAACCCACCCAACCTCTGATCAATCTCTAGTGAGACTCATATCCCTGGCTCAATCGGAGACCCCGTTCCCCTGTCTCCATCAGCCCTGTGCTCCCTGAGGAGCACCAGAGCAGGACTGCTTGGGCTCTGGCAACAAGGGATGCTTTCACAGAGAGCAGTTCAGCTGACAGCTGAGTTATGTGCAGCCAAATTGATGGAGAAGAACACCACAGCTATCCAGAGAAGCAGCTCCTGATTGCTGCTCTCACCTGGCAGGTTTCCCATATTGCACAGCTTCTTTGGGTTCTGCCTGAGATTTTTGATAAGACACTGACACAAGGAGTTTATGTACAAAGGAACCGTGGTATGCAAGAGCCTACATGAGCACTAATGCCTTTGGATCAGGCATGCAAGCGCTTTTATCCACAGCTCATTGCACACAGTAGCTTCATAAGCTGCAATCCCAGTTTGCGTGGAGGCTGCTGATCCCTGCCTCCTCCCTCTGCCCCCATTTTGCTCTGTCAGAGCACCTACGTGCAGGAATCCTGCAGGAATTCATCAGGGCTGAGACAGCTGCCACGGCCAGCAAAGAAACCCAGGGCTAGGGGAGGGGAAGGGACAACAGGGCCACACAGCAGTGCAAAGCCATGCAGGTTTGAGATCTCTGTTTCTGGGATGTGCCCCATGAGGAGCTGTGGAGGTGCTGGAAAAGCAGCACAGCCTGGCAAGCCTCGTCCCTACTTGCTCATAATGGTCAGACCCCTCAGACAGAAGCCATGGGGTGGCACCTCCCTGCTTCCCCTGCTGTGCAGGTGATAGAGAGGTGCTTTACATATACTGCACCAGTGGCCAGACCAGCAGGCAAAGTAGTTGCTCTCCTCTCCACCAGCAAATCCTGTATTTTATGCCCTACCTACGCACACTTGTTCCCTCCTGTTTTCCTGTTTTCCTCAGAAGTGTGGCAAGCACTCATGCCTTTTTCTCTTGCTTCAAAAGAAGCACCTGCACCCAGCATTTGCCAACCCCAATGGCGTGGGTTGTGCCTTTCTCCATCCCTGTTACCTCCTGTGGGCAGTCGCTGGCACCACTGAGGGCTGGTGCCCTTGGTGCTGGTGCAGGGTCCTGAGTTCTGCCACTGCCAGAGCAGGGGGTAGGCAGAGTGATCATGGTCCTCTGCAGCCACACCAGCTTGCAAATCACAGCAACGTGTTTCCAGAGCACTCCAGAGCAAAGAGCAGGGGGATGAGGGGTGAGGGAATGGTGCTGGTTGAGGATGTGTGGGGAGGAAGGCAGAGCAGCCCTTTGCTGTCAGAGACTCATGCACCTTCTGCTAAGTTAATGCCCTCAAACAGCCTACCAAGCTCCTTCCCTACCTACTTAACTCCAAAGAACCCTGCCTGGCAAAACAGTTCCTTATAACACTAGGTTCAGTGAATCTCAGCTACTGTTAAGAACAAAAATATCCTGAAGGTCAAGCTGGGAAAATCTAAACTGAGGGGTGGTGGGGTGCGAGGACACACTCTTAAGGATGGAAGTGCATTAGGCAAAGGAAAAACCAATGCAGAAGTCTAACGGCAGACCACAGAGGCATCACAGCTCATGTTCAGAGGCTGCATAAGTATACCCTTTTATGATAGATAGCCTTCTTATTGTGTGAATAAGAGAAATCAAGTAACTTTCCCCCCCTGTTCACAAGAGCACTCTCTGCATCTCCACCTAGCCAATAATCCACAATTTCCCACAGCAAAATGCCGTGTGCTGTAACAACAAGCACCTCAAGCCCCCCTTCTTTCCCTCTGAGAGCTTGGGTTCCCAGCACCTCTGAAAGCAGACCTCTGCCCTTCCACATTACCCTGCTCAGCAGCACGGGGGTATATCTCCCTCCCCCACTTCTCCCACTCCTATCACAGAGCACCCACCGTGTCCCAGCGCTGCCAGCACCTTCTGCTCCTCCCGATCCCACAGCCCTACCTGAGACAGGAGATCCCACAGCAGCTGCAGAAGCCCATCACTGCTGGCTGTCCCGGGGCCGCCCTGCATCGCAATCCTGCTCGCCAGCAGCTCCAGGAGACGTGGTGCCCAAAAGCTAGGTGCTCCCCTGCCTCATGGTGCACTCACCCAGCTCTGTGAACAGCTCTATGCTGTGCCCCAGCAGCTTTATAATTCTCAGGTGGCAATTCCTTAAGCTATAGGCAGTTTTCCCAGAGGTTTCCCGGATCTTCTGTATAAGGCTATTTGCCATGAATCAAACAGACTGCTTAGTCACCTCTGTTTGTCCAGCCAGTGCCAAGTCAGAGCTGCTATTTCACAGCATGTACTGTACAAAGTCACCAGCTCCTGTAAATTGGATGCAAGACAACAAACTGAATTGTATATTGTTTTCTATATTCCCTGTTCCCTCCCGGACTGGACAAAACTTACTTTACAGTCATAAATAAGAGAAAGAATAAAAACAAGCTAGGAAGTCATGTTAGAGCTGGTGGGCGGTGTCTGACTGGGTGCTGCGTGTGCCTGAGGGGGACTGACAAGCACTCCTGAGCCTGTCACAGGCAAGGGATAAATCACCAAAGCCAGTAGTTTTGACTCACTGTTACAAAATTGGAGTGCCATTGCATGAGGAGAGATGAGACCCTGCAGACAGTATCCAAATCAAGAGCTGCTCTCCACTCTTGTTTCTAAATAGGGTCTAAAATACAGGTGCCCAAAGTACTTGGATTTGTACAAAAGCATCTGACACTGTCCCAGCTGATATCCTGAACTCCAAATGGGAGAAGCTTGGATTTGATGGAGGGATCACTTTGTGGATAAGGAATTGTCTGGATGCTCAGATTCAAAGAGTGGCAATGCAGTGGGTAACAATCCTGCCCACAGCAGGGAGTGGGAACTGGATGGTCTTTAAGGACCCTTCCAATCTATAACATTCTGATTCTATGAAAGCCAATAGGTACTGATGAAAATGCTGGATTCTCTGCCAAACAGCCATACTAAAATGGAGTGCATTTAGACTGCCTGCCAGGGGTGCCTAGGATATTAATTATTTCCTTAGAGCTGTCAGTCCTGGAAGGGAGGCAGTGTTCACAAGCCCCAGGTCTGCGTGCATCCCACAGCTCTCAGCACAGGATCCCCATGGCTGCAAACATGTTCACCAAAAGTCCTAAAAACGCAGTGGGTCTCATTTAGACAAAAATGCACTCCCACCTCAGCTGGAAGAGATACCAAGCAGCCCAGCGGGTTTGCAGCTCTGCTGTCACCTCCCATTCCCTGCTGCTCCCAAAACAGGACAGTTCCTCCAGCGCTTGCAGTAGCAATGGGGCTGCATCCACCTTTACACTCCTAACCGTGCATCTTTTCTGGGCTCTTTCCTCTTGGAAAGTTTTGTATTTCAGTTCTCCTTCCTGTATTGATTATGATATATAATGTTTGACCAGTGTGACATTTAAATTCTTGAAAACCCTCTGGCAGAGGAGGAGATATAATCAGGAAAGCGTGTGTAATAATGTTGTGATAGCATTTAAAGTAAACAGGAATTGGAGCCTGCCTATGGTACATCCTGTACAATAAAAGGATGAAAAGACAAACTATTGCCACTAAAACTGTATGCAGAGCATCTAATAAAACCTGTGTTTCAAAGGCAAAAGAACTCTCTGAATCCTGACAGGCACAAGTCAGAGAGGCTGCAGGCAGAAGGGACTGATAAAAGCAGCCAAATCATTTCACAGAAGGACACAAGGTTAATAAGGAGATTGCAGAACCCTCATTAGAGGTGCCAGTGTCCCTCTCCATTTGATGCACTGACTTGCCAGAGAGAGAGGGTAATGAGAGATATTTGGGAAAATTAGAGAAGGTAAGAGAAGAATCAGGACTAGCAAAATGCTCAGGAAGGAATCCAAATCCAGAGAAGCAATTCTCAGTCCTGGGAGCACCAGCCATGCTCAGCAGTTGAGGGTCAAGCACTGAGCTTCCTTGGAGCTTTTCTGCCTTCAGGGCTACAGCGCCCTTTAAACACCACAGTGCTCCCATCAGCTGCTAGATGCAAACAAGTCCCTGTCAGGCTGTAATCCCAGCATGGGAACAAAGCGTCCACTAAGCCTAGATGGACATTTCATGCTGACATCAGAAACACAAGGGCAGACAAGACGTCCCCTAATAACAGAGGCACAGCCTGAGCCTTCTCAGACAGGTCCTTGCAGTGGAGCAGCCCTGTGCACCCAGCGATCAGCCTGCTGCAAGCAGGGAGACATCAAGCAGAGCTGAGCATCAGCATGAAATAGTGATGGTGCACGGGACACTGCTAGCTCTGAGTTTTGCAATGAATGCCACACACGGCTCTGCCAGGCCTGTCCATGACTCTCCATCCTAATGAGGAGGCTTTTTGTGCTATGTTTTGTTAGCAAGCAGCACAGAGATGCTGTGGGGTTAAAGGTTCTCTAGCTCTCTCACTGCTCCTCCTTGTTTGCTTCTATTTTGACCTCAATTACTACAGCAACTAGGGATGCTTGTCATTTTTGTAAAGATAAAAGCAAAAGCGACCTTTATACTGGACCAAATCCTGATGTTCTTTTTCAGTTTTTAGAATCCTTATTTGGAAAAAGCTTACCTTCATTACAGTTTCATCAAGAGCTTTGTTTCCAGTAAGGATGGAGGGAAAACTGAAAGACGGTTTTGGAATTGGATCCACGTGGTACAAATGTGATGCAGATGCTGCTAACACACAGCTGGAAGCACTCGCACTGCACACAGGAGCAGACAGAGAGGATGTCACTTCTGCTCCCTCCCACATGGCAGTGCCTGTCCCCATCTACGCCTTGCACCATGACGCAAAGGATGTGGCTCTCTCTGTAAATCCCTTCTCATGTCATGTTCATCATCCCACGATGCAAAGTTCACATCTTTGGCTCTGAGGGTTGCTGGCAGCTCTGAAGGTTCAAGCAGTGGCAACGCTGGTGGCCACTGCACTGTTGCTGTGCTGACAGCGTGCACTGGTGCTTGGGCATGCATGTGCCATAGGTGCTCACGAGCTATTCCTGTCCCGTGGCTGCGGCACACTGAGCAGCGGCACAGTGAGAAACAATGCTCATCTGCATCGGTTAGTTTTGGCTTTTGGGTTTTGTGTATCTGTGTGTATGTGCTTGTGCTCCCCTCTCCCCCTCGCATCACTCACAATCAGCCTTGCAGCACAAACCTGCACGCTACTGCACCTCACATCAACTGAAAGGGGTGGCAAGGGAAATGGAAATCCAACGAGGAAATCCATATGCCCCAGTCTGAGAGTTCCACAGAGATGTTTATACTGGGGCTACCCTGCCTGCCACCAGAAGGAAGTGTACTGCTGCTCTCTTCTTGCATGAGAGACTAAGGACTCCCCTACTGTGAGGCGATGCAAATCTCTGCAGTCTCACATACCCCGAAATATCTTCTCTGCTGACCAGCTCCATCTGCTACAGAAGCTACTGAGGGAGGTGAGCAGAGAAAAAGGAGAGGAGGAGAGGACCCGGCATAGCCAAAGTAATGAGGGCTGTAATTCACGGAGCTAATTGTTGCAAGGAGCTGTATAGACCCTTGATTCAAACTAAACATGGAAAGAGATGAAAACTCCCACAGGACTAGAAATGCTGCCTCTCCCCAGAGCAAAGCCCAGGCCAGAAAGCAGTCAGTTGTCAGAGACAAGCTTTATTGTCCTGTGTGTGCAACGGAGCCTGGCTGCGAGCTGGCAGAGCTCCCAGAGCCATGGGATGCTGAGAAGAGCCAGTCCCATTCCCTATGGGGAAAGATCCCAGCACAGGACAAGGGATCTTCTGCAGAAATCCTGGCACAGACTGAAACTCTGGGGTCATAAGAGGGCAGTGCCAGAGGACCCACCCAGGAGAAGCACATTTTATTGGACAGAGGAAGCAAAAAAACACAGTTTGCCCCAGTTCCAGCAGAGGACAGGACAAAGGCAGGGAGCACATCCCTTCCCAGGGGACCATGGAGCCCACTGGTGTCTGATGTGCTTCCATCAGAGCTTTGTGGCCTGTCCAGATCAAGAGGAGCAGCAGAGGGTCTCAGAAAAAAGGCAGTGCAGTCCCCCTAAAATCACACTTCACCTAGGTCAATGGGGATGCAAGTTGGGGATTGACCGATGGTGCTACCTCCATCGGCTCCCTGTTCTGGGACCAGCACACCAGCTTCACCTCAAGAGCTAAAACCAGAGCCCAGGACAGGTGCTCTCAATCTCTGAACAATGCCCATGTAGCTCCCAAACTCACCATCTATCCCAGTTAAACATTCCCTATAAACAGATCCACAATTAAGGTCATGCTGGTAATTTTTAGGCCCACTTCACTCTTCTTTGCATTAAAAATGTAATTTAAAAACCCCTCCTGAAGAAAGCACACCTTCTCTCCCCACAGGCCAAAGACCCCAGCTGCACTCTGCCAAACAAACATCCCATTACCTCATTTCTCTCAGATTCTCTTCATTTTCTGCTGTAAAGCAACGTGAGTGGCACAACATCTCTAGCTAAAGCTGCAGGAAAGGGTGTGGTTTTGAACGCAGCCAGGCGTTATTTTTGCAAGCATTTGAGACAGCAGCCAGACCCTCAGCTGAGAGCTGTGCTGAAACAAAGGCAGCCTGGGGATATCTCACGGAGGAAGGCTTTGCTCCCCAGGCCCATGGGTGGAGGATGCTCGGGGATGCCCTGTGGCTAGCACCTTCCTGAAGCAGCCATCCGGCAAAGGCACAAGCTTTGAATGATGTGTACTGACAGCATCTCTGGGGAGAAATGCCTCCCCTTTGGGTCCTGCTCCTGAATCCATTGGCCACAGGGGATTGTTGCGCAATGCCACCCACACAGTGCAGAAATCCTGTCTGGTTCCTTTCACATCATGAGTTTATGGCGGCTGTTGAAATTCCACAGAAAGTCAGGAACTGGCTTATTGGGATTTTGCTGATCCCCTCTGAACTTGAGCAAATGTAGTGGGATGATACATGGCTGTGGAAATACAGGGACTGCAGTCTCTGTACTGCTCCTGTGAGCATTACCACAAGTGATCTCAGGACTGACATCGGCCCTTAGAAATTCTTGTCTTCAGAGACCT